AAGAAAGTTCCAAGGTATTCCAACCCACGCACCCTTGAAGCATGCATGTGAAAAAACGAGCTGTCAGACAACAAGATTTGACCCTCCCTAGTTTAAGGGGGAGTGGGGTGGGGGGTTACCATACATGGAGATCTCCAGGCTCCAGGGGCCACACCCCGTCCCCCAATTCCATTTTCAGGCAACCCGGTGGGGATAAGCGTTGGACTTCCCTGTCAGGCGGCCTTTTTTTTGTTGATAAGTTACCCCAGCCAGTCATCCAGTTCTAAAGAGCGGGCTCTTTTCAAGCCTTCAAGCTAAAGACGCAAAGCAGTCAAGACAAGAAGACATGGGCGAAGGAGCAAAAAGGAGGAAAATCACAGTGGGTTTGCCGTTTGCTTCATTAAACGTGCGCTGGACTAGTGCTTGGTTGCTTGTTGATTCTTGAATCCATTCACGCGACCTGCGGCACAACAACTTTGAACAACAGAAGATGCCGTACTAAGACTTGCTGCCACGGGAAGCCAACGGAAACCATGCCTGACAAGCGGCCTTCCCTGGTTTTTGGGACCCCCTGGCTTGTCGCCTTCAGGTGCAGAGCAGGCCCATGTCTGGCTCGTTTCGGTCCAAGGAGCTTGCGGCCCCCCCACTGACACTGTTCCTGTGTCCCACGGGCGTCGCGGGTGCTTGGCTCTGACCGGACAGCTCAGGTTCCTGGGCCGAATCGAACAGAACACATGAACGAATGGTCCAGGACCTCAGTCGTTGATTTCCCCAGATGCCTCCATTTACTTCTGGGAAAAAAGTCTTTCCAGTAGTGATAGATTTCTTTAAAGACACCCGGGGAAAATAAAGTGTTAAATAAGGTCACGGCGACGTTAGCCACGCGGGCCGCCGTTGCAATTTTCATACACCGCCTCGGTTTGCTGCTCTCAGGATCTCTGGAACCTTAGGCCACAGGTCCGGTCCAGCATTGTATCTGAATTGGAAGCTGTACACACCTGCGGGTTCAGCAGGCCAGCCGTAGCACTCTTAGTGCTTATCTGGATGGGCATGAAGTCTTTACACATCCCCCAACATCTATCTATTGTGCTTATCATTTGGGTGTGCTTATCATTTGGCTGGCGTGTGTGCAGCGCTGCGCGGGTGCACTTGAGCGGGTGTGCTTATCATTTGGCTGGCGTGTGTGCAGTGCTGTGCGGGTGCACTTGAGCGGGTGTGCTTATCATTTGGCTGGCGTGTGTGCAGTGCTGTGCGGGTGCACTTGAGCGGTGTGTGCTGTGCGGGTGCACTTGAGCGGGTGTGCTTATCATTTGGCTGGCGTGTGTGCAGTGCTGTGCGGTGTGCACTTGAGCGGGTGTGCTGGAGGCGTCTGTGACTTGAGCGGGTGCGCTTTTGGCTGGCGTGTGTGCAGTGCTGTGCGGGTGCACTTGAGCGGGTGTGCTTATTTGGCTGGCGTGTGTGCAGTGCTGCGCGGGTGCACTGGAGCGGGTGCGCTTATCATTTGGCTGGCGTGTGTGCAGTGCTGTGCGGGTGCACTTGAGCGGGTGTGCTTATCATTTGGCTGGCGTGTGTGCAGTGCTGTGCGGGCGCACTTGAGCGGGTGTGCTTAAAATTTGGCTGGCGTGTGTGCAGTGCTGCGCGGGTGCACGTGAGCGGGTGTGCTTATCATTTGGCTGGCGTGTGTGCAGTGCTGTGCGGGCGCACTTGAGCGGGTGAGCTTATCATTTGGCTGGCGTGAGTGCAGCGCTGTGCGGGTGCACTTGAGCGGGTGCGCTTATCATTTGGCTGGCGTGTGTGCAGTGCTGTGCGGGTGCACTTGAGCGGGTGTGCTTATCATTTGGCTGGCGTGTGTGCAGTGCAGCGCGGGTGCACTTGAGCGGGTGCGCTTATCATTTGGCTGGCGTGTGTGCAGCGCTGTGCGGGTGCACTTGAGCGGGTGTGCTTATCATTTGGCTGGTTTTGTGCTCCGGGTTTTGGTTTAAGGTTCTCACTTGGCTGGCGTGTGTGCAGTGCTGTGCGGGTGCACTTGAGCGGGTGTGCTTCTCATTTGGCTGGCGTGTGTGCAGCGCTGTGCGGGTGCACTTGAGCGGGTGTGCTTATCATTTGGCTGGCGTGTGTGCAGTGCTGTGCGGGTGCACTTGAGCGGGTGTGCTTATCATTTGGCTGGTTTTGTGTTCAGGGTTTGGGGCTTAAGGCTTAGGATTTACGGCGCAGCTGTTGGCGGTAAACGCGGCCTGCCACTGGCGGAGAATATGACTCGAAGTCAAGAGTGCTACGAGCGCTCTTGCGAAGGTGACACTCAACGCGACCTGCCACTGGTGGAAACTATAAATCGTAGTCAAGCGCGCTGCGAGCGCTCTTGCGCGGGTGTTGGTAAACGCGACCTGCCACTGGCGGTAAATATAAATCGTAGTCAAGCGTGCTACGAGCGCTCTTGCGCGCGTGGCGGTAAACGCGACCTGCCACTGGCGGTGAATATGAATCGAAGTCAAGCGTGCTACGTCAGCTTGTTTGTGAAGAAGTCATGAACATGAAAAAACGAAGGATCCTCCCGCGTGTCTAACGTCGCCGTGAGCTTAAATAACGATGAAAAGTCTTAAGCAAATGGAAGAATGTTCGAAGTCATCTACGAACTTTAGCAAATACTTGAAGGATTTGCCCGCACAAGCAGCAGCCAGAAAATCCGGTGAGCCGCACGGAAGCCATGCTCCGACCTCCTGGCTCCCTTCAAAGAACCAGATCTGTTCGCATGGCGCTTCTGAGATTTGCGCTTTGCCAGCTGGAACGGCAACTCAGAACATGATTCTGGGGGCCCCAAAGTGCAGGAGGGCAAAAGAAGACCTTTCGAGGTCAATAGGTTGCCTGCGCGTAACCAAGGCTTCCATGGTTCAGAGTCGGACATGTGGGCGCACACGATCCGGTAAACCACAGCCCCCAGCAGAATTCAAAGGTTGCCCCAGCCCCACAAGTAAGCGCGACCCGGCACCAACCTTGGATTCTGCTGACTGTTGTGTCCATAGCTTCCGGTCACACCTTCCAAAGAGCCGCAAGTATCAATGCGCGGCAGAGCAAAGCCAAGTGATTGCATCCTTTTGGGTGGTAACTGCTCCAAGGTGAGTTCACTACAATTTGCCCAGGTTACTTGCACAATTGAAAAAAACTGTTTGCGTCCATCATCACCCCCAAAACATTGGACAGGCAGAAACCCCAAAGACCCAGTTCCAGGCTTCTGGAAATGCGTACCAACAAAAACTCTGTGGGGGGGGCCTTTTTGGGATGCTAAACTGCACAAAACGGAGAACACGACATGCAAGGGATTGTCAATATTAGGTGTCGTTCTAAGGCGGCGTGTATTGGCGGCAGGGTCCATGAAGGAGCCGCAAGAGACAAGCCCCAAATCTCCCATGCTGTCAAGGGGACCCCAAGAAAGGGGACCCCTACAAAAAGGAGCCCTACTAGCCCCGAGGCCTTATTCGTCGCTACTAGCGAGGCTAGGTCAAGCACTGGAAAATCTGCAACCCGCGAAGATATTTGCCAAAGCTTCTATTGGCAGATCGTCCTCGCTGTCTGCATGGAGGCTCACCGGGCTTATCGGCTTCAGCCTCACAGGGGTTTCACGCAGGCGCTCATGTAAGGCATGCCCGCGCGCGCGCCAGACCCACAGCGCGCAGACGGCACGCAGACGACAAACACGCCACACCCAGAGACAGAGAGACACACCCACACGCCGACTGTTTCAAGACTTGTCAGAACTGCGGATAGGCGCTAGATGCATGTTTGGGGAGATGATCATGCCTCTCTCATCACGTCATACTTTCTTTAAATTGCATGGCTGCAAGCTGTACAAAAACAAAAACACTGAGATCAGGTACCCCCAAGTACCTACATCATGGTGAGCTCGCTTTACCCCGAGCTGAGCTCGCCATAAAATAAGCACAAACATAAATTATTCATCATCTGACTGTCTGTCACACAATTTTTATTGTAACCTTTCTGTTCAATGCTTTTGCTCTTCACTAGCATGCTGCACGTGCTTTTCCATGCATGAAATAGGAAGTGCCTATCGGCTGATCGTTGGCCTTTCCTTACACATAACCGCCCGCCCCAGCGATGCTCTGACGCAAAGGACAAGGAGTTCAAGGCGAAACTTAGGAACTATAACCGGGTTATAACTTGGGATAGTAACAACTACTAACTTGGCCGAACACCCAAGTATGGGCCAAATGAGGGACAGCTGAAAAGCTCCATTCGCCATTCTCGTCGATGCTCAAAGCTTTGATGGTCACACCAAAGTGGGCCATGCCCACGACTGTATATTATTAATATAGCCATCGCTTTGGGGATTTCCTTGGTATGACAGAAACTGGCCTTTGAACCACGAATTTTCCACAACTGTGTATCACAACATATGTCCGCGGCACGCTCTGCAACTTGCGCAACTCGCGCACTATGCAAGGTGTCGCCGAATGAATTTGCAGCACAACGGGCAACCATCGGTTTGTTCTTGATTCCAGTTGGAGCTCAAAAGAAAATGGCGCAGGTCTGGAGTGACGCTTGAGGGCGAGCTATCTTAATGGCGTTGGCTGGTGACTGGTGTTGCATATGGCCATGAAATGCAATAGGAAGTTCAGTGAAATCAAAGGTAATCTATAGGGCTAGGTGGGCACGAGGTTCTAGGCTTTGGGTTGGCCGAGGGCTTTCAGTGGCTCCCTTTAACCCTCTGGCCCGGGCGAAGCGCCGGGAAAACAATGCCCATACGCAGCTCAATAACTCACCCAATCGGAAAGGGGTCTGTGAACCCTCCACTAGGCCCAACAAAACCACTCGCAAGAGCCCCTGGCTCAGCCCTCTCTCTCTCTCCTGCCTTGCACCGCTGCCCAGGTCGGCCTCAGTTCTGTGCCAACACCAGCCACGCCAACAATGCGAGACACACAATGCCCTAACGACCTGATTGCCCGCAGTGTCCAGTGGCCGCTGGTGCGAAGACTTCCACAGATTAAAAAGGAAGGGCGTGCTGGGCAAGTCACTTCAGCACGTGCTTAACAGCAAGGGCTCACGCTGTGACATGATCTAGTTCTCAAAGAAAATATCTGCGAAAAGTGTTGAAGTCTCGGTTCGCCCCAGTTAAAGTTACAAAAAGCGTGTAGTGTGTATGCATACATGTCTATACACGTAAATAATGTAAGTATTGTTTTCTCTATTCATGTCACAAAGTATTGATCTATCTGCTATCTACGCATTGGGCTTTTGTCTGTTTATTGAACTGCATCAATCCATTCGTATTGGACTTGGGGCATGTTTTGCAGGTATATTATATATGTCGAAGGTATATTTCGAAGGTATGGTTCAGGGTATGTTGTGCCAGCGTTTTTTCTTCTTGCCAGCCAGTTTGAGCGCAGCTGCTCGGATGGACATCCATGCTTTCTTGGGTGCCTCAAGTGTCGCGTTGCAGTTCTGAGGCATGTTCGATGCTGCTGCAACTTGGCACCATGAACCAACGTCTCACTCACGTTTCTAGCTTGTTAGCCTGGCATCCAAGAAGGCCAAGGCGAAGTCAGAGATGCAAGCGAATCGAAAACAAAACGACGTGCTCACACCCGAAGCGAAGAAATGAGCTGCCCCTTGGGGTAAAACAGTTTCAAGGCCTCCATTTGCCTTGCTTCAAAGACGCGCCTGCAAGGAGCCGCAAGGCAATCCGAACTCTGGAAGTGCACCGGGCTCAGCAGCAGGGCAACACGCAGGGCACCGCATGGATCAAAGCGCCTTCCAAAGTCGCGTCCCGCCATCCAACTATTTCAGGGGGGGTTCTTGTTTTGGCCTCGCTGTCTGCCAAGCCGCTTCGGCTGCTGCACCTCAGCGGTTGACCGGTGCCCGATTTTGTGGCCTCCATGTCAGACTCCCTGTGGGGTCGTGGATCCAAAACACCCAAAACGCCGACCATCCCTATCAGACCTGAGAGTGAAAAGGCCTGGTGACCTGCACGTGGAAAAGGAGAGCGTGCGGAAGTGGGCGGCCGCCTCTAAAACCACAGCTTTCAGATTTCAGCGGACGTCCGATCGATCTGAATGATGCTAATCAGAGAGTTCCCCTTCCAATCCCGCCCTTAGGGAAGCGCATCTGCATTTCTTCCAAGAAGCCGTCCTCGCTCAACTGGTTGGGCAGGGGAGGCATTGGGGGCAAAGGCGGCGCTTGCGGCTCCACCTCGGAGCAGCTGCAAAAGGTCCGAAACTTACTGGCCCACGTTGCCTTTCCCTGTAGGTCATAAGAAGAACTGTCTCACCCACTGATCACACCGTCCGTCCAAAACCAAATCAGGAAAGCGAATGAATCCGCTCAAGCATTTGACCAGTGCAGAACAACAAACTCGGCTTAGGTCCTTGGGAGCCCGATTTCATGTTGCGGCCCTCGTAGAGTGGCTAAGCGCGTCCCCCTTCAAGCGTCACAATTTTGTCAACCCTTCGCTGCACATCTTGCTCATGGGGTCATCTCCTGGAGGTTCCGAAACGAGGGGGGGTCCTCCCGCACGTGTTACCGCTGGTGCTGCAAAGCAAGGCCTCATCAGAACACATGCCCTACGGCCTGCTTATGGGAAGCTTTGGCCCATGAAGAAAGCCAAAATTGCAAAGCTCAATCTCTGCATTCGGTTGTGCAAGACATGGGGGACGATACCTCTACATGAACAAGTTGTCTTTTTTTTGATTCTCCTGGCGATGGAATGTCTGCCGAGCGCCCTCTGCTATCCAAGTTGCCGGGTGGAGCTTCCTCTTGCCTGGGCAGAGCCAGTTGCAACTCAGGCGCCCCTGCAGCCCCTTTCGTGCCGCCAATTGACAAGATGCGATTTCTCCGCTCATCTACGCAAAACGGATAGTGGGTTGACAACACAGCAACAGCGGCGCAGTGAAACAGTCGCAAATTGTGTTTCTTCTGGAATGGTCAGCAAATTCCTTGATCGAGCTCTTTACGATGATCTGGGAACGGCGACATGTTTGGCGTGTTGCTTGCACGGACTCCCAAACGGTCTCATTCTGATCTCCACGTCCCAAGTAAACAACTGGAAGCTGTTCAGTGACTCTGCTAGAAAAAGGGATGTCTTTCTGGGATGACCCCCGAACACTTCGACAACAGTTGGCCCCAAAGCATTCGGCCGCACGCGGCTGTTTTCTACAATCCGAAAAACTAAGCCCCCCAAGCTTCTTAAGATGAACCTACGGCTTTCTCGGGTGGGCGCGTGCAAGTTTCCGCGCAACTTCTCCGCGCAATGCCCTCCACGCCACAAAGCCAGCAAGAACATACATACACAATCATTCCCATGTTCCCCACGAGCCCTGTGATTGCGCAAGCTTCACCGCGCAAGCCTTTCTCCGCAATTTTCGTTAGCCCGACGCCTTGAAGGGTTCGCGTCCTTGTGTCTTTGCGCAAGCTTTGCTTGCTCCCTGAAGCCCTGAAGCCCTGAAGCCCTGAAGCCCCAAAGATGCGCGTCTTCGTGTCTTCGTGTCTTCACCCGATCGCTTTGACTGAAGTTCTGAAGCCCTGAAGCGCTGAAGATGCCCGTCACCGTGTCTTCAAAGTGCAAAAACACATGTGTTATTCTACATATTGTGCACGCCGATCTTCCCAGAAAGTCGCGCGCAAACTGTGGAAAGATGCAAACCACTTGAGTTTTGGCACCTTCACCACACCCATGTCCGCACATTGTCCTGCGGTAACTGCAACAAATGCGCAGAACACTCGGGTTTCTGCACATCCACCACACCGATCTCCGTAGAGGGTCGTGATCTCTCTTCGCCTTAAAAGATGGCCTATGAATTTCGAGCACGGCTTCTGGTTCCACGGCTCTGCGCGGTCTCATGGCGCATGGACAAAAGGTCGATGTGATCCTCTAAGATCTCCGCGATCTCTCTTTCTGCGCTCTCTCTGGCACGCAATCTCGGCGTACATTCTCTGCTTGTTTTTCCACGTGCTCGTTCTGCGAACTTCTCTGTGTCGCTCTGCGCGCTGCCATATCCACGCTTCTCTGTGGGCTGCCTATGGGCCTCCACGTGTGGGCCAACACTCATCGGAAGAGCCAGCTCGAGTACACCTTCGGGCTGCCCCGAGAGCCGGGGCAGAACGATAACAGACACATTGGCCGCATAACCCAAAGCAAATGGCGCCGTGTTTTCGGACTCCATTTGTTGCCAAAGGGGTGCAAGCCACAGAAATACTGCGCCTTTATGCTGGCAAAAAAAAGCCGCTCGACTGTCACATGCATGGGTCGCCTCAAAACTTAGTCACCTACATGCGAAGCGCAGGCGCGGTTGTGAAACCATCTCATTCTTCCGCAGAACACGTTCGATTGATGTCGCCTTTGTGCCCCTGAAACCTCCGCCCGAAAGGGGGGGGGGATCCAACTGGATATGGAGTCACATGCTCAGAATGTCCCTCTAATTTGTGGGCTAAAGAAAAACTCACTTGCCCAACGGACCCAGAAATCAAAGATAAATCGTTCGAGGCTATGACTACAAATAGACCAAGGTCGGCTTTGGGGGGGCGCAAGCGAGAAGACCCCATCCTGAAAAGAATGAATTCTGAGAACCCAAAAAAATCTCCAAGGGGCTCTGGTCCAACTTCGGGGTCACGCTGCGGGGCATGGGCACGCTCACCACGGTGTTTGGCATCGAGCTGGCCCTGGCAATCTCCTGGCCGCGCGCTGCGCGCTGCGACGCTCGGGTTCCCCAAGTAAACTGGGCTGTCCTCAGATCCCCTATTTGTCTAACTCGTGGGTTGAATGGAACCCCCACTAAACCGTAAAGAGCTAGAAAGCTGAGGGGAATGCTGGGAACCACCAAGCCGAGTTAGGCCCAGTGAGGGGGGGGGTCCCCTTAGCAGGGATTTCTGCAGGACCTCATGACAAAAGTGTGCCCTTCTGCTACCCAAAAGTTTAGTGAGGCAGATGCCTGATTTCACGCCAAAGTCTTGAGGGCACAGACAGCAATTGCGTTGAAAAGGAAACTATTCATAAGTCAATTTCCAAACAGCCAGAATGGCAAGGTTTCCAGAACAACTGAGGGACATTTGTTCGGTGATGTGTGGTGATTTTGATATGACTTTTGTTGCCCATTTGGTTCGGATGTTTGCCAGCAAGCACCAATCCAAATCGCCAAGCTTGGGGGGGGTCCTAGCCCCTGCACCTTTCCGAACACCACAGAAACCTGTGGGCTGCCTTGCTGCGTACCTTGGAATGTGACTCAAAATCAACGTTCAATGTCCGGCTTCCTTGCGACGTCCTTTTGAAATACGCGAAGGGCCCCTACTGTGGATGGACAAAGTCCTGCACCACCTAAGAAACCTGCAAATACCAACCAACCATGGTGTCCAATGGTTTCTTAGGTGGTGCGAAGTGGATATTGTCCATCCACAGTATGGTGCACACATGCCCAGCACAAAAACCAAAGCAATCTGACTTTTGTTGCTAGCTACGCTCTGGAAAATGGCCTCTCAAAATTATCTGAAACACATAAGCGCTCTGGAACACCACGGCCGAACTTTGCAATGCATGAAGGTCCCTGTTTGTAGTGCCATCCGTCTCGGCAATGTTTTTTTTTTTTTTTTTTTTTAAATGTGCAACGCGACCAGGCCGGGATGAACAGAAACCGCGTTGATGTGTCCATGCTCTGCCCCCTGTAAGCGCCGGCTGATTGAATCCAGACAAACCGAGATGAGCCCTATCAGGCGGAAGCACTGGCGCTCAGCTAAAGAAGAGCTATCCTCCACTGCCCGTTGGCCCAGGAATTCCATGCGAAACTGTGTAAGTGTACCTTGAATTTCCCTTTGCAACACAGAAGGGTAGCCTCCCTCCAATCCTGGAAGCTGACTGATCGGAAGGTGCGGAAAGTCTATTTCCTTTTGGGAAACCTCCTGATCGTCCACTTCCATGATTGCTCACACACCACACACCTTTGCTCCCAAAAAGTAGGTGGACGGCACCTTGGCAACTTGCGACTTGCAAACGGGAGTAGCGAAGGGTCTCAATACTTGAAGGCGCTCCTCAAGTTGGACCCTCTCATCAAACTCCTGGAGGGTGTTTAACGGGGCCACCTCTTCCAATTTCCATGTCCGGAAAAGGGCAACCTCAACCTCCACATTCCCGCCCCCCCCCCCCATTCCCTTGAAGCACCTGCTCCGACATTCCGAGGAGCTTCTGCATCATAAGGTTCTGGTGAGTAGTTAAGGCCTGCAGGCCCTTTCTCTGGGCCCCGAGTCGCTTTCCTTCAGAATCTGTTTGAAAGACCATCCCGCACAATAAACAAGAAAAAAACACATATGGGTGGCTCGTCTTTTTTGCAATTGGTACCCATTTTGGTGGTTTTAAAGGGAAACCAAAAGGAAAACCACAATTTTTGGGGACCTAAAACAGACGAGCCACCCATAATTATTGGGCACTGTTCAACAGCTTGCAACAGATTCAGGGGCATCCGCTCGGTTTCTGGACATCCAATCATCACCTCCTTGCCTCCCGCACCCAGGGCGAGCCCGCAGAAGTCAGCCATTTCCCAAATGCCAAAACACCAACAAACAGCAGCACAACTGCCCAAGACAGATTCACACGTCAGCTCCAGTGCCAAAAGCACCGCTCTTCCCTTCTGGCCGCCGCGCGCGCCTCTTGCACGGCGCGCCGCTGCGCCTCGAAGGCATTCATCAGCCATCCTCGGCGAGACGCTCGCAGCAAGTGAAGGCCCAAGTGGTCAAAAGCTTCGACCCAAACACAAGCTCATATGTGTGTTTTTGGATTCTCCCTAATTACCTTAGGGGGCAGGGAGGTGGGCGGCTCACAGAAACTTCTTGGACCCCCCCTACCTTAGGGTGGGCGGTGCCCCAATTCCATGTTCCTAGGGAAAATGGGTTACCATGAATGAGATCTCCAGGGGCCACCCTCCCTCCCCCAATTCCATTCATAAGGGACCCGATGGGGATCTGATGGGTCAACCCCTCGGACTGCACTCTTTGGCCACAAGGAAGATCTAAACCTAGGCCACTCAGGTGTGGAGATATTATCCTTGCGAAAAGCCTCTTCCCCGGCACCATCATGTGGGGGTCAAAAATGGGGTAACCTCAAAATGGGTTGCCCGGGAAATGGAAAGGACGAACATCTGCGGTCAAATTCCTGGTGGTTTAAGTCAAGTTGTTTGGTACTATGTTGTTTTGCCGGGCACAGCGTCTGCTCCAAGCCGTTTTGGCAGCTCCCACTATGCCCATCTTGCCCGGATGCGCTGTTTCAATCGAACACACGATCGGTGTGGACCAGGCCGAGACGCCATCCTATGTGCACTCGTCCAATGAAATAATAGTTAGGGAGAGTTGTCAGCATTGCTTCGAAGCTGGTCATCCTTAGCCTCACTGTTGAAGCTGCCGCATTCCATATCGAACTCTGTCAAAAGTCCCTTCCCTTTGCCAAAAGCGAACTCCAATTCCGCCAGCCTCTTGCAAAGGCTTGCATTCTTCACCATCTAGAATGCAAGGGTGCTGGGATGAATTCTGGGCATGCTCAACCTGAACGCTTGCGTCGACTGGGAAGACTGATAGGGGCGCTTTGCCAGGCAAAACAAACTTTGCAAGACTCTGCTCCAAGGGGCAGTGAGTTGTTAGTAAGCCTGGTTATAACCCACTTAGGAGACTTGCAACCATGGTAAGAGGGTCATAACCATGGCTACGTACCGAATCGATCGCCCCTTTAAGTGGCACATCTTCTTCGCTGGGTCGTGGAGCTCACAAGGCTAAGCGTAAAGCAAAAAACAAAACGCGGCAAGGTTCCAACACCGTGCCATGTCCCAAGCCACCCGCCCGCAGCCAGACACACCCAAACGCTGTGGCCTGTCGACGCGTTTTTTCTCGGCAAGGCGCTGTCCAAATCCGTGGCCGAGGGGGCCCTGGAGCCTGAAAAGGTCAGGCCGCATGCGCCAATAGGTCTTGATAGCCCAAAAGGATGGCACCATGGTCAAGAAAAATGTACGCGACCATCAGCCATCTTTCGACGGCAAGTCGATACACCCCGAAATACTGCCAAGGAGAACGCAGCCACCAGAAAGGATGAACCAGCCACAATAGGCACAGGTTTCAGGCACCAAAATAGCACACCACCCCGGCGAGGCGCGGTCGAAATCCGTTGCCGAGGAGGCGTGCTCCCGAGAGCCTGGGCCAGCATGCGCCGGGGAAGCTGAACCAAACCTGCTCATTCAGAAAACGGCCAGGCCACATTGTGGGTGCGTCGTTTTTCGGGGACCCCCCAGAATGGCTTTGGTTTTCCTGATGGTTTTCCTGATGGTTCTCCTTAAGCCGCTAAATCGTGATAGTCTAACATGGACAAGCAAAACGTACGGGAACCTGGTAGCTTTCGACGGCAACTCGACACACCCCTGGCAAGGAAGAGTGAACCCTTCGTCTTTGGAAGACTTCCGATGGTTGGAGGCTCCCGGCTTTGGGCTGACTGGCACTTTCGTACTTTCGGCGTGCAGCCGTGTGAGAGCATCCTCTCATACTTTTCCCTCAAGCGACCCTCAGTTTGACCCTCCACTGCAGGGCCTCGCCAAAAGCTAAGCCGGGCACCTTTGGATGAGTGCGCACGGGGAAAATGAGGCGACGTCGGCGAGTTGTTGGCTGAAGTGAAGTCGTCCCCGAACCGAGAGCACAGCTGCTGAAGCGTGAAAACCTGCTCGACCATCCCACAGCATCGACACGCAAATTAGCGGAACAAGACTCGCCTATCACCTTCCCTCCAGCTTGGGGGTTTGGATTGGTGTTTTGGTAGTCTTCGGGGTGGTTTCCCATGTACCCTCAAGAAAAATGGGGTTCAAATGCAAATCCAAACAACCAACCCAAACCACCAATTCAGGAACACCAAATATCACCGAATACAAGAAACACGACGGGGAGCAACAACGAACCCGGCGGGTTTCTTTCTACTTGCATCGGAAGATCGCATGCACAGCCTTCGGGGGCTTGGCGCGCTTCACCGTAGTTCTGGCCGGTGCAGGGGACACTGCCTCCAGCGCGCGCCCGGCCGGCCGAAGTCCGGGGAAGTAAACACACGGCACATGATAACATTGATGCCAGCCAGTTCTACTTCAAGGGCCGATCGGGCACTTAGCAAGTGATTAAGAAGCCTGGTTGCAATTAACCTACCATGATTACAAGTCTCCTAAGTTAGTTATACAAAAAGGATTGCTAACCACTTACCAAGTACCCTGCCCCTTTAAGTCGCCAGTTGCCAATTGTCGAAACTTAGGGCATGCATGATTGCTTGCGAACGAGCCGACAAAAATACCCCGGTTTAAAATAAGTCTCCCAATAGATGTCCACCGTGTGCGTCACCAATGTCGTGCGTCCCTTCAACGTGACAGCCACGAGCTAAACCACCCGGACGAGTGGCAGCCATGGCTTTTGACCTGGCACGGGTGCTTGAGAGGCGCACGCTGACGGCGGCTTCAGCCCTTGACTGCTGTCCGGTGCCCGCTTTCTATAGATTGGAAAAGGCGGCTCACGACCTACATCAAAGTTCAATCTGCTAATGTCTGCTTTTGGCGTCACAAGCTATGTTTCCTGTGCGCCCTCTTGATTGAAACCAGCGTAGTTTTGCGTCTGAACGGGGTTGAGAATGTGACCAAAAGTTGTTGGCGACTGTATTGTCAGCTCAAGCGCTGGCTTCAAGCGCTGGTCAATGCTCCGCCCTGTAGTCAACATGTGGGTCTATCTTTTTTGAGGGTACGCTTTTTGGGTTCGTGTTTGACGGAAACTATTTTTTGGGGGGGAGGAGAGGTCCCCTAAAAGAAGATGTGCAACTAAAGCAGGGCTGATGCAAAAACTCTACGAACATGGGCAGCGCTGCATCCCTTGTCTGGGTGGACGCTGCCGACAATGCTTTGCAGCGACTCTTGCTGAATGAGTCCAATCGGCAACACGAAAGACTTGAATGTCGACTTGCATGTCACGCTGACATTGTAGCCGCGCTCATTCATGAAGGGAATCCAAGTCTTTTGACCACTTGCCCACTTGCCCCACCCTTTTTCAGTGCGGCCTCAGGACTCACCCGGGCTGCCGTCGAGTGGCCACCGCACAACCCCAACGGTCAACGGAGGAGTCGAGACGGGGTGAAACGTGGCGCAAGAGCGCCGTATCCTACGTGAAAATAGTGATTAACGGGCGCCTCTTGAGCCCAGCTGCGGCATGTAGATGCAACTGCTCGCCGGCTTCAGTCAACAATCCGCTGACATGGGTATGGGTCAAAATTAAACCACCAGGGCACAGCAGGTTTTAGTCCTTGGTTCCATTTGCCAGGGTTCCATTTTGGGTACCTATTTCTGACCCACAGCCACATTGCTGACTGACCCAGTTGGAGAATTTGCGGCCGGCAAGGATGCCAATGCTCAACAGCCATCCATGTTTGGAGCCCTTGACCCTTTGATCTGACAATCTGATGGATGCTGGCATGGCCAGCCAAAAAAGAATTATCGCTGGGCTGCGGTGCATGCCAGTTTTGCAAACGCCCACCTCCTTTGCAAGGCCAAGTGTCGGGACTATTTCGTGCCCTTGTCCGACAAGCCTTGTCCGCTTTGCTTTTTTAGGGAAATCAAAAGGACCGCCGCCATTTTGGGGGGTCCGCTTATTTCGAAATACCCATGGACCAATCAACATGATCAATCAATCGTGGTCGTCGCGCGGCGCACACCTCTCTTTCAAGGACACGTGCGACTTGGGGTCTTGCTGCTCACCTCCTCCCACTTCGCCTTGGCACAGCCCACGCTGACTCCCAGGCGTTTCGCGACCACCTGCCAGCTGTACATGCCCTTCTTGTCTTCTTTCATGCGCTTCAGGTCCCGAAGCTTCTCCTCGGAGAACTCCTCCGCGCCTTCCGCCGCGCCTTCCGCCGCGCCTTCCGCCGCGCCTTCCGCCTCGCGGCCCCGCTTGGCTCGGTGCCTCGCTCCGGGCGGCGCATGCCGGCCGGGCTCATCGGCCACGGGCAGGCCGGCGGTGGCTTGATGCGCCAGCGCTAGACAGGCTTCGTCCAGCTCCTCCTGGAAGTCTGCAGGCGGCAAAGGGAAGCCAAGCTTTTGCAGAAACGCTCTGGCCAAAGCCGGCGTCTGCTCATAGGATTTCCCCCAACTGAAAAATACAATGGCATAGCGCCTGCCGCGAAACTCTGTGGTGCAGTGGATCTGGCTGCCATTGAATCGATGGAGCCGGTTGTGGATGTCCAAGTTCTTGCCCCGAAGCACGTCACCGCAACTTCCAACTCCATCGATGTCCTCGGTGAGCTGATAGGTGTCAGGCCCGTTTGCAGCCTGGATGAATGTCTCTCCTCCGTTGTAGTTGCCAGCCCCTACAATGAAGCTGTCGCCTCTGTTGGACCTGTCTGTGTGCGGCTTTGATTGCATGTCCTTTGTCAACTGGATCGAAGTGGCTGTGAATCCTCAAAGCCACTTTCGTGCGCAAGCCGCTTTCCATACTCAACAAGATTGAAGGTCAGTCTGCGAAAGCGGTACGTGTCCGCAGATGGCATTGGTATTCCGCGCCAGTGGGCGCTGCTGACAAGTCCTACTGACTTTTGGAAGCTATCCTTCTGACCTGACGGTCTCACATTCTTCCTGGATGTGTTTCGCCATTCCTGGTCAGGAATACGCTCCAGGTCGCTCAAGATCTGTCTTCCAAGCTCTTCCAAGCTAGCCATCTGAGGCTTATCAAGACAAGCGTCGGAATCATGATCAGATCTGATTGTGGCAAATTGCGCCATGTGGTGTCTCGCAAGCCGATTGCCCATTTCGACCCGATTTTCCGGCAGGAGCCGTTCCTGTGAGGCTGTGTCAGGTGGCACCTGACAGCTTGGGACTCGAAGGCTACCTCTTGGATCTGTCTCAAGACCTCCTTTTCCGCAGGCTCCAGGGCATAATCATCCTCAACTTCAATGATGGGAACTTCCCACCACGCGGCCTCAACTGAAGTCTCTTGGGCCTCGGGAGCCTTTGACTGAGTGGGATCCAAATCGATTGCATCTGAGTTATCAGCACTGAATTCGGCTTTTGCCGTGTGGGCGAGCAAGAGGTCCATGATCCTCTGTTGCTGAGCCCGCAGCCCCGTGCTCACACGCAGCATCTCCGCATGCAAGCTGTCCAAATGACTCAAGCCTTGAGCCAGCTGCTGCACCCCTTCCTTCAGCTTGCCCAAATCTTGCGCCATGGCACCGGACAAGGTCTGCCTGACCAGCCCAAATCTTTTAACTTGTACCTGTGAGAGGGAAGGGACTCTTTCGTCTTTGCTCTGCGTCTGCTTCTCTTTGCTCCGAGGTCAATGTAGGGTGGGTTGCAGGTTGGCCTGTTGGTTGGGGGTGATCTGCGTTTCAAGGTTTTTCTGGGTCAGGATTTCTTTCTGAAAGCTTAGAAAGCTTAGAAGGCTTAGAAATAGGTCAAGGAGTGATTTAGGGTTTAGGGTGGCTTCGGACCAAGCACGTCAGGCGGGCCAGACGCTCAGGGTCGAGACCCTGGCCGCGGTTTTGCTTCACAAACGTCACTCGAGTGAACTTTCTGCACACGCCCATCTAGGCCAACAAGGATGGGGGTTGATTTCAGGTGCTGAAACAAGTAGAGCTCTGGAGTGCAGGATTGGATCAGGTTGCATGGTTGCATTCAAGCTGGGTTCGGGTCTTGGATTTTCGTTAGTAACGCGCTTAGCACCAACACTATGATTTACGCATGCGGCCCGAAGCCCAGCGGAGATGTCATAAGGCCAATTTGGACAAGTCGTGCAACGCGAAGCTGCATCGCAGGCATGGTCTGACAAATCTTGCAATCGCAGGCATCTGCGGCTCTTTCATTCATTTTCCCCTGACTTGCGCATCGTGACTTCATGCGCCCAAGCGAAAGGCATCCTGGGCTGAGTGTCACACGGAACGACACGCGCGCGTCACACGTCGTCGCGGGGCTAAGGTGGCAGCGAGTCCCTCCAAGGCATCTCTAGAGCTCTCTGGCTTTGGCTCCGGCGCCTGCGCTTTTCCGTTTTGCGGCGAGTGGGGTATCATGGGGTCTGGGTCAAATCAAACCAGGAGATCAGGACACATGGGTATAGGTCAAAATTAACGGACCAGGATCTGGACCGCTTTTAGTCCTTTTTAGACCTTGTTTCCATTTACCAGGGCTAGCCATTTTAGGGGATACCCGATTTTGACAACCACACCATGTCACATGGAACTCTCCCACACCGCCTTCGTGGAAGCATCGAAATTGCACATTGCTGAGGCACCCATGCCTGAGGAAAGCAACTCACATTGCTGCACCATGAATCACGCACTGCAAGATGACTTCACAATTGAAGTAGCCAAGCGTTTCGACTCAAATCGGCATGGCATGCAAATGAGCATTCCTTGCTATGGCAATATGTGTTGTTTCCACTTGAAAAAAGGTTCCCTCGTGACAGTGCAGCGCTTAATCCATTCTTGAGAAAAGCGCTGCGAAAACGGCTCGCTAAGCACGACGACTTCGACAAGGTGATCGCGGCGCTCTCGGTGCATGCACCAAGGAAGCCACCTTTGCACAGCTGGCGGAAGCCGGGGAGCATGGTGTCAATTGCTGCATGTTCAGGCGGCCAAGCCATCACTTACAGTCGCCAGCAGCTTGCAATCGCCAGCATCACCAGCATCAGCATCACCAGCAGCACCCTGCTGTCTGCCACCTTTCTAAATAGTACGTCCTAACCAGCCTGATTCGGCAGCACCACAGACAATGCCAAGAAGCAGAAGTGACATCAACCCTTGCCTTGCCTGGCCAAAATGTTTGTTTGGGTACGCGCTCTTTATACCTTACCCGAACGCGGCCATGTGAGAATGGCAGCATTCTTGCGCGGCCGGAGAAGCGTTTCCAGCCTCTTCCTATCATGCTTCCGCCCACTTTGGACTGCAAAACTAATTTAGCATTTGGCATCAGCAAGGCGGCGCAAGAAGGGCTTCCAAAAAATATGCCGCCATGCAACACATCCCTTCGACCCACCCCATCCCTTCCGCAAACCAGTTGTCCGGCAGAAGAACACGGCTCCCCAAAGCACATGGTTTTGAGAGCACGGCTTTCCGCCCATCCCCGAGCGGCCAACTTTTTTGCCAAGCAACCGTCCAAGAAGGTGCCAGAAGCCGCTCCTCACAGGCAGAGCGCTACGAGCAACCGATGGCACGTGGGTCGCACCTGGCTTGCGACCCAGTAACAAGGTCAACTCCACTTGCAAGGGCTGATAACCGGGTTATATCTTGGGTTAGTAACAATGGCACCGAGCGCTGGCAGACCCCGAAGCGATCCTTCGTCGGAGGTTGGCTGTGGGCTGGGCAGCGCGTAGCTTGGCTGAGGGTAGCTGGGCTGCGCATAGCCTGACCTTCAGGAGAACACACTCAGGCTCAACACGCCTCACAGGACACTTGAGCAGTGAAAAAACACGACTCTGTGCAGTTAAGTCTCGCAGTGCCATTGGCAAATGGAGGGTCGAAGAAATTGGTAGGATTGCTTTGCCCACCTCTGCATGGAGCTTCTTGCTTGGCTTGGACACCCACTGCTGTCAAGGCGCCCGAGGTCCAATCAACGGTGCCTATCCCGGCGCTGCCTGTCGAGTATATTCAAGCAAGTTGGCAACAAACCAAGGCCTTGTTTCACTGCGACCGGCCCACCGCCCAAGGGACACCCGGACGTGTACACTGGTCAACCCTTCATTACTCTTTTGGACCTCTGCATCTGTTCAAGGAAACCGACTGCCGCCAGGATGCTAGACGCAGGTTGGGCGGCTGACTTAAAGTCCGAGCCATCGAAGGGGTCCTCGTCGAAGGCCGTGAAACCTTGGCTTTGGGGCCGAATCACGACGCGTCAGTCGTAATCCCGTGAGAGCACTTAGCGCCATCCAGCCGCTGGTTGCCTCTGCCGGAATGGCTGGTGCCGCCGGCGAACTCACAAAGTCCTGCCATCGGGCTGACGCGGATGCTGAGCTGCGCCCATTGCTGGACTGTTGGGCATGTGTGTATGTGTCCCTTAGCACAGCTTGAGTCATGGAATGGCCTAATTCTTTCTCTTTGAAAACCTGCTAGGCTTCCAAGACACAATAGGATATAAAGAGATAAGATATTTGCTCTTCAACGGAAGGCAAAGGGAGACAAAGGAGGAACCTACACCAGTTCTTAGGGCCAAGCTCCATCTCCCTCCTTCAAGGTTGAAAAGACATGCATTTTCCCAGCGGATCACTGGGGTGGCAGCCTTGGGTCTGGCAGGTCCTTACTGCTTGCTGCTGGGGGTGGGGGGAAGCCGCTGAGTCACAATCAACACCTCGCAATGTCGACGTTGTTGCGGTTAGTGGGATTCATCGCTTTTGGAGGGCCCCCACCCCCCGATTCATAATATAACTGGGGTTCATGAATATGGGGTCAACACTACCCAAACCAATGTAGAGAACTCCAAAGTGAAACTTTGACTATGACTCAGCTGTGGGACTAGTGCTGGAGGAGTCAGCTTGGAGATCTTTTCTCTTTTCTTTTTGGGGAGGGGGGACATGACATGCGAGCTCCGGAGGGAAAACTCACCCGGTCCATGAGGTTGTTGGCCGGTCCAGGAGGTGGCCCAAAGCCCAGCTTGGGCACAGCATCGCCTGAGGCGATCGACACTTGACATCAACGGCGCGACCCGCCAGGCGGGCTCCAAACTGGGCCGAAAGATTCTTCCAAGAAGCGAGGCATGCTCGGGGCTGACGAGGTGGAGGGTGTGCAAAAGTCGGCCCAGCCCTCGTCGACCTGTTCCTGGACATCATGGACATCATGGACATCATGGCTGCCATGGTGGCTTCTTGTCAGGCAACTTGGCAACTTCCAACTCGGTCGGCGGCAGGCGCTGAGGTGTACGGCGCAGCCCTGAGCGGGTTGCAGCTTACCACAAAAGTCATGTGTCAGGCTGCCAGACCTGGATGGCTCCCCGTCGTCCATGTCAAGCAAATCAACTGCCGGCGCTGGAGCCTGCCGCAGCCGTTCCCAATCATCCATCACCAGCTTCAGACATCACGTGGAACGGAAAGCAGCCTTGAAATCGTGAAGTATGCTAAACTCAAAGCACTTGGCACACATCAATCTTGGTTCGAGCCCTGCCTGCTTGCCAGGGACCCTGCTGGGACCTGAGCTTCCGCGTTGAGAAACTCTTGGCATCCTAAGCGTTCAACCAAAAAGGCTCGGACTTTGGTCTGAGTCGGAGTCGTTGCCATCCTAGCGTTGCCAAATTCGGGGAGGAAAACTGAAAATCGTCTTTGCCACGTCTCCTTGAATTGCATGCCAAACATTCACACAGCGGTCCCGCGGGGCGAAGCTAGGGTCGAAAAGCCCATACTTATCCTCTTTGGGTCCTGATCTCTCCTGCAAAGCCGCAACGATTGCATTCGCTGTGCTGCTTTGGAAATGGCCTCATCACGTGGAGAGCGAGAGCCTGCACTTCTCTCCTGCGCACAAAGTGACAGGCGGTCCCTTCTGTTGTTTTCTACCCCGCACTCTCTCTCTCTCGCTCTCTATGAAGGCCGTTTTGCGGCCTCCAGTCGGTTGCCTCCTCTCTCTTTCGCAGCCCGCTCTGCCATCTGCTCTTCCTTCAGCCTGCCAGCTGGCTCGGGTATCAAAAAAATACACCTTTTTTGAAACCAAGAAATCAAATAGATGCTCGCAATCACAAAAAATGCGTTGCTTGCTTTCAAACAACGGGTTTTCTGCTTCCCCAGCTCCCCATTGGAAGCCAACCCTCGCAACTCCGCCTGTTGAAGCGTCGCTCCAGCTCAGCGGCTTGCGAGGAGGACAGGCTGCGGGTATCGGGGCCTCCTGGCCGGAACCTCGGGCACAGGATTGGGCAGGACAGGCACCTTCAGCCGGAAACGTCGCTGACACCCGGGGGTTTTGGCCAGGCCCGAATCCAAGTCGAGGTCTCCATCGGAGACTTCGGGCGCGGAGTGAGAAAAAAGAGAACCCTCGAAGTGTGGGATGGTCAATCTACTGGCCGGTTTGCTCCAAAACGATCGATCGATCCACCTTTGGCGGTCCGCAAAAAGGGAGCCCTGAACCAGAACCTCTCAGGTTGCAACTCCCCCAGCGCGTCGTTCAGCGCACTGCTCACCACTTTGGAGATGTCGTTGGAGCCGCTGGAGCCAGACGACTGGCTGCGGCCTGGCACTCAGAGTCACCGAGCCGAGACACCACGCAGTTTCGCCGGGTGCTCTTGAACCAGATTTCGCAAGAGCCATGTGAACAAGCAGATGTCCTCAAACTCACACTTGCTAAGAGTGGGTGTGACATGCATGTCATTTCAAGGAAAATCCGCTTGCCTCCTCCCATGGCAGTGGGCCCACCACCGGTCAGCTTCGTGTGGTGCAGCTTGGCCTTCAATTCACAACTTGCTGGCGGATGGCAACAAATTATCGTGACATCAATACCGTGGATGGACGAAATCCATTTCCCGCCATGCAACGTTACCACCGTTGAAACATGTCCCTTTGTTGCTTGCCATTTACCGGGGAGTCAAATCAGACACCAGGTTTCTGAACGGTACGAAATGGATTTCGACCCTAAGGTTTGTTGGTATGTACCGGGGAATCGAATCATTCCTGGGTTTCTCCGGTGGTGCGAGATGGATTTCGTCCAATATGGCAGCATGGCCTGATCTCTCTCGCTCCTCAAGAGATCCTCCCACGCGGGCGTCGTGAGAGAGACCGTCTCTGGTGGACTGCCACAAGCTGTCGATCCTTGTCGTTGAGCAGCTTGACCAAGTTCTCGGCCTTGTCAGCAAGCTCCAAAGAAGAAAACAACTTCTTGGGCCCAAAATTGGCAAACCAAAAGGTCACAAGGTCGGTTGTGGGCAACTGAGCAAAGATGGGTCTGTCTTTTTCTGAGTTGGTGCCCCCCGTTTTTTTGGTCGGGCCAAAAGGAGAGCCGAAGCCATTCTAGTGGGTCCCCAAAAAAGACATGTCAGCACTTGGATGCTCAACCAACGGCAGGTGAGTAGGTGATAAGCATGGTTCGAACTAGGGCAGCTGGGGTTGGCCCCCTCAAGATGGTTGAGCATCCAAGCCAGACTTTGCATGACTTTGCCAGCCAATGTAACATGGAATCGAGCTCAGGACCTTCTCGCGCACGCCCCCGCCTACGGACAGCTTTCATTGCTCACGCCGAGGTTGTTGCATATGGGGGGTCTCTTTTGAGGGCACCCTTTTTGAGATTGCCTTGAAGGGAAACACTTTTGGCGGTCAGACAAATAACCCCGACATTCGACACAGAACCCAGCGCACCTTCGGTTCTTTGGCTCGACCCGCCTCGATCCTGGCCATCCTCGCGGCATTGGAAGCTGGCGAGCCGGCGGAAGGTGAACTGCTCTCCACGCCTCAGGCACGGGGCGGAGTGGCCGCTCCAAATTCGAGGGTTCGAGGCAGGGCTCCCGGAAGGTATCAATGTCCCCCACCCCAAGAAACAAACTCAAGAGAGTTTGACCACCACTGACTTCCGGCAACTTTGGCCCGAGCTCCTTGTGCTCCAACCAACCTCCCCCCCATTTCAGGTCTAGGCTGAGTTTGAAAGGGTGATCTTTTACTCTTCTCTGGAGTATGGTTTCACCTTGAATTGCTTCGCTCAATCCCTTAGGTTCGAGCAGTTCATCGGCGATGTTCTCTCCACCGTTCTTCACCAAATACTCAAGCCTGGACGGCAAGCAGCGGGATGTTGGCCCAACGAAGCATCTGATCATTTGAAAAACTGAGCCCATGGCATAATGAGTGTCTTCAGAATCCTGCGCCACCTGGGCCATGAGTCACAACAAAAACGCCGCCACCCGCATACACACGCACACGCACTCTCACAAGACCTTGCGCCAGTGTGATGTGAGATGGTTCCTGAGGAGAGGGCTTCTCTTGGTTGCCGTTCAGGCTTTCCAACGCGCGAGTCATGATCTTCCTTTGAGCAGTTTGCGCAGTCATGCACTTTGAAACCATGGTTGAAACCACTGTCCGTTGGAATTTGCAGGGGAATGGACTCATTCCACGGCTTCGGCCCGGAAAGAGATTGCCAAGGCCGCCGCTGCCGGTACTTGTACGTCTGCGCGTCGACGCAAAGCTCATGGAGGACCTGTGCAGGCCAGCGGCGATGTGACCGGGCACGCGGCGCCACGTTCAAACACATAGACACAAGCGCACGAACAAACAACCAAGAAACAAAAAACAAACACACACACACACACACACACACACACACACACACACACACACACACACACACGCATGTGTGCGAGCCCCAACATGCAGACAACGCACACAGAAACACATACACACATACAAGCGCACACACACACACACACACCACGCACACATGCACATACATGCACATACATGCATACAGATTCATATTCATATATATATATATATATATACACATTCCTAACTATATATAAGCACACTAAATCTCTCTCTCACCCTCTCAAAGACACAGGCACAAAAAACAAACACCGACACAGACACACAAGCACACGCACACACACACAAAAAAAAAAAAAAACACCCACAGCCACACGCAAACACACACACACACACACACACAAACACACACATACACCCGCGGGCGGACGGGCGGGCGCGCGCAGCACCCGCACGGCGCGTGTGCACCACCCACCCAGGCAGGCAGCCGAATTGCACGCACGCACACGACAGCGCAAGAGTGCGCGAGCCCGCGCATCTGCCCACACACGCTTTCAGGACAAAGCACCAGCGGGACGATCTCAAGTGATCCTGCTCTCGTTCCGACCTACATATGGATCACCAAGGCTGCCACACTGTTCGGACAGCCCCATCGCTTGTTGGATGTGGCCTGCGCGAAGCCAGCGGTGCACTGCCACTCTGTCCGCTTCTAATACGTTGAACAGATTGCACGGCTCAGCATTTCTCTGGCTTGTTCTAATCATGGTTGCAAACTCTAACCATGCATACACTTCCGCAAAATGCTTTCACCAGGCCTCACGCAAGTTGCGCTCCTGATTGCAACAAATGGAACGTGATTCCGCAGTGCACATGCGCGCAGCAAAGTGACAAAGCCAAGGGTCAAATGGTGTCTCAAGCTCTGCGACCGCTTTGGCTTGCCGCTTGATCCTGCGAAAACAAACGCACTGAGCGGCTGAGATGCTGAGATGACGGACCGGCACTTCCAACGGCTGAGGCTTCAGCTTAATGGCCTCGTGCTTCAGTTTACCATACCTCGAACCGGACAGGTAAGAAAAGAAGCTACAGTAATTACAAGTCGTTACAACGGTGGCATGGCATGGTAGCAACAAGCGGTGTTTTTGTAGCCCCCTACCCAACCAAAAAACAAAACAAAAAACGACAGCATAGGCCCCCGATAGCGAAAAACAGCCAAAGCTTGTGCACCAGCACCTCCACCAGCACCCCGAACAGTGCCCCAAACACCCGGCCGTCAATCTCGCAAACATGCGCCCGCGTCGTCCCCACACCTCAAACAGCATCCCATATCCCAAAACACCACCTGCGCCAGCACGTCAAACTGCATGCCCCCTTGCACCCTATCATCAAGATGCAAACACGCACCTGCACGATAGCACCCGGACGGTAATATCGCAAAAATGCGCCCGCGCAGACACCAGCATCTCAAACAGCTCCCCGCAAACAGCATCCCCGCAAACAGTATCCCACACCACCACCAGCACCACCACCCCAAGCTGCATGCCCCCCTGCACCCTACCGTAAAAATGCAAAAATGCGCACGCAGCGCCACCCCCCAAAACAGCACCTGCGCCAGCACCCCAAACTGCATGACCCCTAGCACCCTCCTACCGTCAACCTTGAAAAGATGCGCTCGCACTGCCATCAGCACCTCAATCAGCACCCCAACCAGCACTTATACCAGCACCCCAAACTGCACGCCCCCTAGCACCAGCCCATCAATCTTGCAAAACACTTTCCCCTCTTTATTCGAAGCTAGAACCCCTATAGCTTTCAGCTATCTGGGGGGGGGGGGCGAAAACCTTGCCAACAATACAACGGTGAAGGCCAACATTCAAAGCCAAGGTTCAACTTATCAAAAGCCTTCTCCATGGCGCTGGAGAATATCCGGAAAAGTCACGCTCGGGCCACAAGCGGCGATCAAGGATCCAAACGCTGAGCCGTCTTCTTGGTGCTTTACAAACATCGACAAGCCCCTATGCTACAAGGCAAGTGCATGCACTCTTTGTTGACTAAGCAACTAAGCTACTGAAGAATAAATCGTGAAACGTACCTTTGCCTTTGGCAAGGTCAGGCGTAGCTAGTGGCTAATGAATGGTATGACTATCTACCTCCAACTCACTTGCCCGTGCAGTACAGGTTGACCCCCCATGCCTCTCAGGTTCACTTGGGCAGCGCTCAAAACCAAGATAGTTGTAAGAGTGTATGCAGGACTTACTATAACCTCGATGAAACCCGGCAGTAGAACCACTTACTAAAATGGCCAGCAGGGGTTTCGGCAGTGTTCACTTCTGTTCCCGGCCAGTGTCGCGAGAGCTGTACGCAGTTATCACGCCTTGGTGTAGGCATCCGCAAACCTGGCAACATCCGAGTTGCTCAAGGGCTTGTACCTCAGTCTGCACCTCTACCTGCATGCGCGTCTACCGGGTACCCTTTCCACCTTGGCTTGAAAAGAAGCCAAAGACCGCCATGCCTGGGGGTCCAAAGCCCTATGTTGAAAACATCTCCCGCTGCGCTCGAGCTAGGTCGCCCATGCATGCTGCCTACACGTCACAAGCTCAGGCAAAGGCCAGTGGTTGGATGGACAATTCAGGAAGCAGCCTCAAGAACAAAATCCGGGGGTGCATTCGCATGCCCGGAACACTGGCAAACTCCTCAAGGCATTGCATGCCGAAACTGAGCTCGATGCGACTTCGATCCATTGCTTTCCCCAAAGCGTCCTCTTGTGCCACGAAGCACCTGGCATAGGTTGCTTCACCCATGAAGCACCCCCCTGCATTCCGGGCCATGCCTTTGCGGGTCCAGGCTAGGCCTAAATGCCACACAGGGAGGGAGCAGTACTCCAAACTGCTCTCTAAGACGCCAACATGGATCCCGCTCGCTCCACGTGCGACTTACCAGCCTTTGCAAGTTCGGACCTCAGTCACATCATCTGCTCAAGCGTGAGAGCGACCTGTCTGACCTGTCCATCATACTTGGCCTGCGACTGGCTTTTGCTCCGAGGAGCTGTCCTGTAACCAAAATTTAGCTTGCCGTTTTTCTCTGCTTCTGAGTCCAGAATGCTTGCTCCGTCCTCTTGCTACGCTGAGACCTGCACAGGAGGCAGCGTGCACATGCAGCATGCCAAACTCTATCGCATGCAGAGGTGCCTTGCAGCATGCACCCAAGCTAATCGTTTCCCTCTACTAGTACATCCACTCCTGTTCGTTACTATTGCTGTTCAGGCCAAAACCCTAAAAAGTAACATCACCTTCTTTACTTCTGATTGGTCCAATTCTGAACCAGCTTCTGACAGCCCTTGTTGCTAGGTACTTTCAGCACTTCCCTTGTGCAACTGCTACCCACAAATAAAGGAAAACCAGGAACCCTACTTCCAGCAAGGAACCTCTGAAACCCGAAATCTGAAAAAGACATGCCCCTAAGTTGTCTCAAACTTGGTCTGCAATTCAAATGCAAAGGGTTGCATGTCTATTCCTCCCTCTGCCAGCAGCACATTTCCCTAGGCCAGGCAAAACAGGGGATCCCTAGGACCCTGTAGATACATACGTTGTCCCAATAAACAAGTAAGGGGAAGGGAGTACAAACAAGTCAGATTCTCGGCGAAGGCTTCGGCCTGCTTCCGCTTGAAGCTGGCGGCTTACAAGATTCAGAAGCTGCTTCATCCTTGCAATTGCCAAAAAAGCTCTGCAGGCGCTCACGCAGCACGTGCAACCAACTGAGAGCCGCTCAGGCCAAACTGCGCATGGCACGCTGGTGGCATATGGCCTCGCAAAAAAAAAAAAAAGAGGAGACTTCACAGGCTTGCTACTGTGGATGGTTGCGAAATCCGTTCCCACCACTTTGAAACGATAAACGATAAACTTGAGAAACCATCGTCCGTTGGTACCTTACGATGCCTCGAATCATTCCATGCTTTCTGAACGGTGCTGCGATTGGATGTGTTCCGTGAAGCAGCTGGGCCCCGAGTCCAGCGCGGCACACCGAGCTCCTCTCTGACATTACCATCCTAGCACGTCGCATTGGCACAAACACCACGCAGTGGGCGTGTCTTTTGTTAGGAGACATCCAAAATGGCTTCGGCTTTCCTTTTGGTGTCCCTTTAAAACCAAAAAAAAAGAGTACCATCAAAAGAAGACAGCCCCATGTGATGACACGACCCTGGCAAAGGAGAAACAGAATTCAGGGGCACAAGAACCAAGACCTGCGAGCAATCAGTCACGACAAGGCATGCACAAACTCCATCGAACGGCCTTGGACTTGCGCGTCCGAGGGCATGCCGGCGTGATGTCCATTGCCTCAGTTGAGCTTGCCTGGAACTCAAGCGAGAATCTGCATCTGCTTCCGGCGGGCTGGGAGCAAAGTCGAAGCTGCAAGACGTGTAAAAGCAATAGGGAAACGTGCCGGCAGGCAGCGATCTGTTTCAGCGCAGGGCGCAAGCAACTGTGCTGAACAGTTCACACAGGCACAACGGCCGCGACATGCGGGTAGTGCAGGTAAGCAGGCACTATATGGGTAGACTGTATTAACAGTGCTAAGATTATATTACCGTATATTTTATAAAACCCGCGCACACAGACGGCAGACACACACCAACAACAAACACATGCGCGTGCAGCTAGGCACGCTTGTGACGCCCAAGCCCTCGAACGCTCGCTCACTCACGCGCACGCGAGAGCACGCCTGCTCGCTAGCTCTCTCATTCACTCACTCGCATTCCCTCATATGCGCTCAAGCGCATGCTCACCCTCGCTCACACCAGAGACACACAGACACATGCAAACAAACACACATACACTACACATATACACACGCACAATGACACATAGACGACATACAAATACAAATGCACACACACACCCTCACACACACACACACCAGCGCTCGCACACACACACACACACACACACACACACACACACACACACACACACACACACACACACACACACACACACACACACACACACACACACACACACACACACACACACACACACACACACACACACACACACACACACACACACACACACACACACACACACACACACACACACGCACACGCACGCACGCACGCACGCACGCACGCACGCACGCACGCACGCACGCACGCACGCACGCACGCACGCACGCACGCACGCACGCACGCACGCACGCACGCACGCACGCACGCACGCACGCACGCACGCACGCACGCACGCACGCACGCACGCACGCACGCACGCACGCACGCACGCACGCACGCACGCACGCACGCACGCACGCACGCACGCACGCACGCACGCACGCACGCACGCACGCACGCACGCACGCACGCACGCACGCACGCACGCACGCACGCACGCACGCACGCACGCACGCACGCACGCACGCACGCACGCACGCACGCACGCACGCACGCACGCACGCACGCACGCACGCACGCACGCACGCACGCACGCACCCACACACACACACACACACACACACACACACACACACACTTGATATGAGACGGCAACAATGCAAGAGTGCATCCCCAAGTATCTGAAAAGTGGAGTTTCGTCAGCTAGCCTTCCCGATCTGTTCGCTCGCCGCGGCTACTCGTCAGTGCCCATGACTACCGCGACGAGGTACTAAGAAAGGGGCCGGTTTGCTGGCATGGGCATACTCCAATAAAGAGAGAGAGGCACGACCGCAAAACCCCTTAGGAACAGGGGGGCCACACACACACCCCCCGCAGGGGGAAAGAAACACAAAACAGCCCGAAACTCAACACTCAGAGAAACCGCCAAGTTCTGAAAGCCGCCTCCATCATGATTCCCGATGGGTGATTTGGTCCGTTTGTGGAACTCCTGCCTGTGCTCACCTACTTGCGGCCATTTTGACATGTGGCATCACCGCCTAAGTTCAGGTGGCCTTCTGATGCTGTTCCTTCACCTTTCTGAGGCGCTCCAGGCTCTTCCAGCGCTGCGTGACATCCGCGATGGACCGGTTGAGCTTCTTGGCCAGTGATTTGTACGAGTACTTGGACCGGTTGTCCGCTTTCAGGCTGCAAAGCTGCTGGTCATCTTCCTCTGTCCAGGCGCGAGGTACTTCCGGGGGAGTTCCTGGGTTGCCGGCATCGGAGTGAGCATGAGCAGGAGGTTCGGGAAGGGATTCAGGAGAGGAGAACAGGCCAGCGCAAGGAGAGACCGGAGCTGGAGCTGGAGTGCGAGGTGCTGGACGTGCTGGAGGTTCCGGGGAGTTCGTCTTCTCGGAGGATGTAGCGCGGCATCGCTTCCGCTTTGTTCTGCGTCGATCGGTCCCACCCTTGTCCATGACGGAACGGGGAATATTGGCCTTCTTGATGCTCGGCTGACCAGCATAGGTGTGCGCAATGGAGCTCTTCGAGCGCGGGTCTATAGCCTCGTTGGTGTCCCCCGTGATGATACCGTAGGACAACGACTTGGGGTTGGCCACTGCGTTGTGCTTATGGTCCGCGTGTAGCTGGAGTGACTGAAAGCCGACTGGTGGTGGAGGGTCGGCCAGATCCTCCGAGTTGACCGAATTCAGAATCACCGGGCCAGGTGGTTCCACCTCATCGAGTCCAGCATGATCGTGTGCTCGTGGTCGCGATGATTCTGCCAGCGACAGGCCTCGGACATATTGCTGCCGCAAGCGATCTTGCCCGTCATGAAGCCTGCGACTGTGCGCCTCGTCAGCCTGATTCAGGGTCTCCTGGATGAGCTGCATCATGTCCGCAGCGTTCTGGGTCATACGGTGGTGAAGTGCCATCATGCGTCCGAGCATGACGACCGCTTTCCGATGTCGGCGAGAAGGCCCACGTCTTGAACCAGCAGACAAGCTCCGTGATCAACACAAGAGTCAAGGGACCCCGGAACCCAAACAGAAGAAGAAGAGCACCCGAGCGCAACAGCCCAACCGAGCCAGACCCGGTCCGGAAGAAGACCGAAACAAAACCAACAAGAGCGAGCCACAAAGCCAAACATCGAAAAAACACAGCGACAATCGGCACTTAAACGTTCTTTCCGGTTGGGATTGCCGGAAGATGAAACAGGTGCTGCGGACAAGTAAATACTGCGAAGCTGATCCAATGCCATCTGCACTGCTCGGGCCGGGTGCGCGTACTTGGTGGCGAGGGCTGGCCGTGATCTGGCCCCGGAGAGAAGGGTAGAGAGACTTCCTGCAGTGTGGGGTCCTCTGATCTGCCAGATTTTTGTTGGGGTTTTGTAGTAAATCGCACGGTCGCCCACGTCGATCACGAAGCCGAGGAACTCAGAGGATCCCACCTGTTCCAACACGATGGGTGCACCATAAAAGTCAGCTTGAAGCAAAGCCTCCAATGGAGCTGCTGGGTGACCGGAAGCCGGAGACGGGAAGATCACAAATCTGTTGTCGACATATCGCTCCAGGAAGATATTGTGACTGGCGAACCATTGTCCGTAGATACGCTGCCAAAGAACTTCGTGCCTCGCGACGCAGATGTGACTGAGAACTGGGCTCAGCTGAGAGCCAATCGCTGTTCCGTGGACTTGGCGCAGAATGAGAGTCCCCACCTGGACATACATGCATTGGAAGCTGGATTTGACGATATCCAGAATGTCCTCCACATAAATGACCCGCGTGGTCGGCGTACGTCCGTAGGATTGCTTACCCGCAAAAACCCGATTGTAGTGGACAGCCGCCTGAGTTTCCACTGAATAGATGAGACCAGGATGCTCTCGCCGGTGCTCTGCTAATAGCTGCTCGACCGCTGCGCACACTTGATCCTGAGGGACACTGTTGAAGAAGCCGACCAAATCGTCATTGTGGAATGCAAGGGTGACTGTATCGTCTGTGTTGTCAAAGTAATGTTTGACGTTCTGCCATATCCTCGGCGTGGGGTGTATCCCCCACGAACACTTCCATGTGCCCGCGGCGATCTCGCCGAGGAGGATTGCAACCGCTTTAAAGAGCTGCCGATGTACCACCTTATGGTAGGCTATAATAGTCCGCCCCGATTTCCATTGCTTCTTGCGTTTGAGAAAGACTTTGCCAACCGGGATGGCGGTGGTCTTCTTCCTGTATGCCCATTTGTACCTCTTCTGCAGGTGCCGGGGAATGGCTTCAACAATAAGAGCCCCAGCCTGGTCGGGCTTCAGTGGAGTGGCGGCAAATGTGCCTGACTGAAGCCAGGTGTTGTGGAGGCCTTTGAAGTAGAGTTGGGGGCAGAAGAACATGAGGTGGTGGTTGTCATGATCCTCGTTATGGCACACAAAGTCCTGGCCGAGGTGTCGATGCAAGATGTTCAGCTGGTGCTTGGTAAGGAGTTGATGGGTGGACGCGTGCTGCCGATGTTTCTGAAATTGACTGCGGAGGTGCTCCATGAGAGGTGCGTGGAACTGGTCCAGGGGCAGGCCATGGTGCAAGCACCATTTTCGTAGGCGTTCATGAACCTGCACTTCGTAAACTGAAAGGTCCACATAATACGACGCCAGCGCTGAGGTGTAATGAACGTGCTGAGGGGTTCCCGGAAACCGGAACTCATCCAATCCCGCGGCCACATGGCCTTGAACGTGAGATAGCCAGGGCTGACGTTTTAGCCAGGCTGCGCACTGACACGATGATGGTCCGGGGGATGTCAGGAGGTAGCAGTCCTGAAACGACGAGAAGTTCCACATAACTGTATGGACCCGAGGATGAGGGGTCTCTGCCAACTTCGTACTGGGCAAGTGAAATGGAAGAGCCCAGTTGCGATGGTCGAGAACGAGCCGACGAAGTACTTCCCTGGTGGACCGCTGATAATGGGGATGGGACAGCCACGGTAATCGCAATAGCAAGTTGATCTTGGGTTGCTGAAGTTGACGGAAATCAAGAACTCTTCGCAAAATATTCCGAACTCGATGCCGGTGAGGCTGTTCCACATTACCAGACAGCCTGTATATAGCATATATATCCAAGTCTGAATGCCGTCCACTACGAAGTCGTTTTTCTTCCTCCCAGGATTCAATGTGCTCCGAGGTGAGGCGAGCGATGATGGACCAGGCTTGGGTGTGTTTGAGTGCCACCCGATGGAAGTTCCTGCCATAGACTGTGCAGCTCCTCCTGCGCAAACGGAGGAAAAGGCGTTTGCCGAACCTGGACCAGGGCTGTTCTGCAAGAAACCTGGTAGCCGTATAGCCGGTGGAAATGCGCTTGTACCGCCGATAAATATAGGGCCAATTGAGGGACGGCTGATAGATGCTAATCAAGGCGTGTTCCTGAGTCCAGGTGACTGCGTGGTCGGGGGTCTGTCAGGATGACCCATGTAGCAAACTCGTCATAGTTGCCGAAG